CCTGCTTAACTCACAGGAAAAACAGCTGGTAAAACTTGTCAAAACTGAGCAATTAAAATATTTGAATTTCTATACTATTTGCAGTGGAAGTACATTCTAGGGAGATTAGATTGGATTAAATTAGATGAGATGCCATATAAGAAAGAAGGAAAGCAGAATAATGGGCATGAACTCTCTTTTTCCTAAAACCTAGCAAGGTTGGAACTAGTCCAATGTTATGAGGTAAAACATTCCATAGAAGATGGCCTTTACAAATCTCTTTACACAAGTACATAGTAAACAACTGAAAAACAGAATGTCTTTGGCAATATTGGCACTTTTCCACATAAAGACCCCAACTATTCCTATTGGAATTTTCAGCCTTACTGTAAAGGTCCATGATGAAAAACAAATTACCTGTTTGCTTTCATTCAAAGCAAAGTACACAGGATGCAAAATATCACGTAGCGAAAGAGCGAGAGAAATGTTTATGGGTATTTGTTTGAGGTAGTAGTATTATATCTTCCTTATTCCCACCCTTTAGCCTTGACATTACTTTAAACAAATAAAAATAATGAACATCTGGGCCACTAGGTCATAGTGTAACATGTTCTGACCATAACTGGGTGTTCCTTCTGGACTGCTCTCACATATTTTCTGAGTCATAGGAAAGAACACATGATTCATAGTCACTACAACCAATGTTTACAAGGCCTTTTTTTCTGCTAACATTTTGTTCCCCACTCAGTTTGAGGTTTATAATGATGTCTGCTTTTAGAGGATAGGGTTGAAAATATCCTTGAGAGGTCATGTCAGATTACTACATGGAGCTTTAAATCAAGTTTTCTTACATCTTATTCAAGCTGGCCAGCAAGGGTCAATACATCTTTTGGGATAAAGAACTGCCCAGTTCTGATTCAATTTTAAGTGTCAATAAAATGGAACATACATTCAAATTAAGCCCTGATAAAACATTTTGTGCCAGAGAAAATCTGCACAGGCATAAAGGAAAATCTACTCTTAACAATACATCTAGTTTTAAAGTCTAAAACACGATTAAGGTTTAAATATGCTAATGCAGGGGTGTCAAACTCAATTTCATTGAGGGCTGCATCAGGGTTCTGTCGGGGGACCAGAGTGGACATGGCCAGCTCAACATCACTAGTGTTGGGGGCGCCTGTGATGAGCACTGAGCACTCTGCCAGTGAAAACAGGCATCCAAAATCCATTTTCAACTGTGACGGCATCCTGCAATCATCTGTCAGCGAAAATAATGTTCGGGAGGGCCATGAGCCTGTGTTTGCTGTTTCTAGGTCAGCCCACAGGCCAGATCTAAGCACCCCATGAATTGGATTCAGCCCACGGGCCTTGAGTTTGACACTCCTGTGCTAATATAAAAATAACTGATGTGAAGTATATAATCTGAATTCCAAATTTTATTTATTTGTTTGTTTGTTTGTCAAACATGCATAAGATAACAAGTATAGGTATGAACATAAATATGAACAAAGGAAGTAAATACAAATAAAGGGGGACAATTACAGTAAGAAAAATTCTGAAAATATAATTAATATAAATATAGCTCCAAATGAACAACCAATCACACAAAAACTGACCAAACTGCACACAAGACATTTATAAGCTAAGGGGAATAAAACAAGAAAACCCTACCTTCATTACCTAGTCTCGTAATGAAATGTTCAGAAGTTAAATTGAAACAAGCTTGGAGAGCAAACCACTACCAAAATATAATTAATATTTATATAATTTCTATTTAAACATAAAATGAACATATTCTGTTTTCTGCCAGTATGATGATATGTCCCCAAAACATAGAAATCCTTAAAACACCCTTACATATGGAGACCATACTAATCTATATCCTATTTTGGTTGGTCTGCTCCCGGATCGGCCCGGATTGGGCGAACCAGTAGTGGCAACCAGTGACGTGCGGTGAGGTTTATGGCTGGTGAGGCAGCATTTTTTTTAGACTTGTGGACTTCAACTCCCAGAATTCCACAGCCAGGCATGCTCAGTTCCGATTTAAAGCGACAGCATTTCTTTTTCTCTCCTTTGCTAAATAAGTTTCCTTCTTTCTTTTTCTTCTCCCTTCCCCTCCTTCCTCCCTCCCTCTCTCCCTCCCTCACCTCTCTCTCAAATGCACACACACACAAAGTTGCACCAGGATTCAGAAAATTTAGGTTTTCCTCCTCAGCCTATGTTAGCAATACCACTAGCAGCATTTTGGCTGGCATGTGTAAGTAGAAGTGGAAATCCATTCTACTGAAAACCTTGTTTTTTCTTATGATTGGACAATTAAAATTTCAGAAGACCCAAATGCATAGTATTAGAGTGTTACATAGTGCATAAACTAAATAACTGTCTCAATATGCTCCCTCCCCTCTCTCTCAAATACACACACATACACACACACACACACACACACACAAAGTTGCACCAGGAGGATGAAGTTTGAATTCCTCCCCCTCCCTCCAACCCACACGTACCTTTTCCAGCTGTTTCAGAGATGATTTCAACTCTGCTCTTGCCTGCCATCATGAAAAGAAAAAAAATATAAAAGAAAAAGGCAAGAGCTGAGGTCAGGCTCAGCTAGTTGCTTCCAGAGTCACCATGGATGACTCTGCTTAGTGCTTAACTGTTTAAAAAAGCCTCTAAAAGAGCGCCCTCTACAGGAGGAGGCGGGAGAATGACATGCCTCATCTACTCAGGAATTTTTTGGTTTTTAACCCTTGCTTAACTTTGCTCGAGTGGTCATAAAATGCCAGACTAGATGAGGCACCTCGTTCTCCTGCCATCTCCTGTAGAGGGCACTTTTTAATCGGCTTTTTTAAACAGTTAAGCACTAAGCAGAGTCATCCATGGTGATTCTGGCAGCAACTAGCTCAGCCTGACCTCAGCTCTTGCCTTTTTCCTTTTACATTTTTTTCTTTTCATGATGACAGTGGTGAGGCTCTGCCTCCCCTGCCCCCCCTGACTGCACGTCCCTGGTGGGAGGCTCCATTCAGAATGTGCAGAAGTGCCGTGCGTGCACGAGAGAACCGGTAGTAAAAAAATATGAAAACCCACCACTGGTCTCCTGAGTTCCCAATATTTTCAAAACTATCATGCTGGAGATATTGTTCCATTCTTAAATGTTGTTATTAAGAAAGGAAACATTTATGGCAAAAAGATGATTAAAAGAAAATCTGGCTGGATGCTAGGTAAGAAAACTCAACATAGGATAAAACAAAATTAAGGCTGCAATATTAAAATACTTTTAAATATACCTAGTAAAATCAGCAGGAGTTAGTTTTAAATACAATAGATTTGTGCAAATTTAATAATAGGCCTTGCAGATTATATTATTATGTTATTATGTTTATAAGATAACATTATTATGTTAGCAACTAACTCATCATATAAACCCAATCAAATAATTCAATAATAAAATATTGCTAGAAATATTAGAATATAAAATGTAAAATATTAGGATTGAAAAGTACCTTGGAGATCTTCTAGTCCCAAGGTGTCAAACTCAAGGCCTGCGGGCCAGATCCGGCCCATGGGGTACTCCATTTTCACTGGCAGAGGACTACCAAAACAATCCAAAAACAAAACAGAAGGAGAAGTATTGAAAGACTGCTATCATATTATCCCTATTTCTTATCTTTGTTAGACTGCATATACCTAGTTACACAACCATTCATTGTACAGTTTAGCATCCAAACTCCTTATCATCTTTGTTGCTCTTCTCTGTATTCTTTCTTTATGTGAATTCCCAGATTCTGATTAAGAAATTTGGAAAATTAAAGTCCACATACCATATCTAAGTTGCCAAAGTTGAGAAACGCTGGTCTAATCTATTATGTGATAGGCTGATAGCACTCCCAACCATTTTAATTCCCTATTCCGGTCTGTACACCATCCCCAATACTGAATTAAAGCTGCAACTATTCATTTAATACTTTCAATACTTTATACTGTCAGATTTTAAAGATTGCTATTTTCGCATGTTTGTTAATGCTGCTCCCATAGCTGTAACATTTTCCATTTCTTGCCCCCCTCCATTTTTTAAAATCATGTTTTATTGCTTCCATACTTCACTAGACCCTTCCAGGCACTCTGTCTTTTCTCTTTTGTAACTTTACTCTTTTAATTATAATTAAGTCTCCTTGACATTTACCAAGAATAGGTGTGTTGGGATGCAGGTTTTGTATACTTATTCTGAAATGTGAGGATATTAATTGCCTTGAAGGGTTGAATAATTGGGATTTTCTTTTTCTGATGTTTAAATACAGATCCAACCCCTTCCCATCTCAGTGGATCATGTGCTCACATTAAGCTCTGTTTGAGGACAAGTGCCTCCCCAGGAAATCATACCAAACAATTCTTGCTAGGACAGAAATTGACATTAGCTCCTACGTGCTATGTTCAGAGGTTACTGGATCTAAGGAGTTTTGATGACCCACCAGGGCCTCTGTTGGTACGTCATTGTTCTAATAACTTCCAGCCACATGACAAAAATTAAACAAGAGATTGTTACATCCCTTCTCATGCAAATATGAAGTCATCTCTTGATGTTTTGGGATGAGAGTGTGGGAAATACTTATCCTTCCAACTCCTCCATTTTTTCTTTTCTAATAAAAAGTTTTATGCCCTTCTTCCCTAGGCAAAAAGGCAAAAATAAGAATGGAAACATCCATCTCTTTTTTATAGACATGTTTATACTGTCCTGAAAAGGTTAAGAATGAATGGAATAGTGATGAATTATTGCAACACTTAATAAAAGGGAAAAATAATTAAATAAGGGGGATGGGATACAAACTACCAATCAAACTCAGTTTTTATGTCCCTCCTCTTCAAATAATAGTTAACTTAGGTTTAAAGATTAATAGACTCTCAAGAAAGTGTATAAATGGCCCGCTGTGAAGAATTCAGGACTAGCTGCATTGGAAAGCTGAGTAGTGTTCCCTCTATCTCTAATAGCAGCACACTTTGATTCACAATCCTTCTAAGGTGTCATGACTTACCCAGGCTTCAGCTGTCAGCTCCTGCTCTTATTTCTTGGGCCTGGCTTCAGTTTGGGTGCTGCTCTCCATTTAATGCATTGCGCCCCTTGTACTGAAGAAAAGCTCAGGCTGTGTCCACCAGTGTCAGCCAACTGCCCAGAAACATCCCATCAACCAGGCTGCAGTTGTTGTCATAGCTGTGCCCTTCAGCTGGGGGAGCCTTGTGGAATATACACAGCAAGGTGTAGCCAGGGGCTTAGTTGCCAGGTACAGGTAGATCAAGCTCGACCTCTTTATGTTCTCACTCAGGGGCAAGGTACATGCCTCCCCATTGCTGGCAGGACAGAAACTGCAGGTAAGAAACATATCTTTCTGTTTCTCTTTTTGCTCATACTCAGAATGCTGGTTGAGGCTGATGACTGGCAAAGAAAATGACAGTGGTTAGAGTGATCTTGTAACAAGATTGAAATATTAACTTTTTTCAGCGTGGCTGAAATTTCTTAGTTTATGGGGTGGGTTCAAAAACAAAGTTTGGGAAATAGAGACAAAAACATTATGTAAGAAAACACATGTCATAAACTTGCCATCCAATATCTGGCACTGAAGAACTGGTTCAAAGGCTATAAGAATCAGACAATGACATTTTCAAAATAAGATTATTTCTAAAATCAAAAGCATAATTTCTAGTTTGAGTGGAGGACCCGGAAAATATGAGGTTGACTGTCATAGCTAGGAGAAAACTTTTTTAAAAAGGGGGAGAGATTTGCTTTATCTGTCTCCCAATGAGGGGAGGAAGCAATTAGTTCTTAAAATTTTGCATAGAAAGTATTTGTGCATGTGTGTTTTGTTTTAAGACAAGATCATTTGTTTGTTTGTTACCTATCAAATTTAAAAACTACCCATCTCCCTTACATAGGGACATGTTAGTACTGCTAAATAAACTAAATAAAAATGGAATAATATTTCTGTAAAATGCTCTAACCCATTGATCCCCCTCTTAATTACTTATGGTCTCATATACCGTGATTGAAAATTTATTTATTAAAGTTTTGTCGATTTTGATTTACAGATTAAATAGTAGAAACCCACAGCTGTCATCAAGTCTGTATTCAGATAGGAATAAAATACTCTACATTTAGTCCCTTGGCCTCTGTATTACCTAATCACCTGTTACATGCATGTTATATTTTCACCCCTCATAATGCATTTAACTATTGACAATGTTAAAGAGATCATGCCTAAACTGAATTTTCAGCAAACTGAAACAAGGAAAGAAGCATTTTTTCCGCAGTTACTAGAAACGTACTTTCAACTCTCATTCTTAAAAACCATCTCTGTTATGTCATTTGCATTTTTAAAGAAAATGCTGAACGTTCTATTTAAAAAATCAGATGGTAGTATTTTGAAAAGCAGCTTGCGTGAACACCAAATAAACCAATTTTAACATCAACATAACCCGTATATTGTGACAAACCCCCAAAAGTTTATAATTACATCCCTTGTACAGACTTTTTATTATATTTAACTGTAAAACTTTAATTCTTTAATGTGCTTCTTCCTGCAACAAGCCTCTCATTTTGCTCTCACAGCAGTTCAAAATTCCGTGCACACCAAACAGGCAATAATGCCGGAAGCAACCACCACTGGTTTCCAGAAGAGTTTGGACTGCCTTTGTCCTGAATAGTATAGGATATGGCCTCCTGCTCAAGGAGGAGGTTGGGCTAGAACACCTCAAAGGTCCCTTACAAGTGTTATTCTGTTATTATTCTATTCTGTTTAAATTTGAAAGTCCCAAAGCACTTTAGCTACTTCATTTTCTATTATATTCTTTATTTTATGGGCCCATTCAGTTTTTGCTTGTAGATAAATAGTATTTCTTGCAGATTGTCCTTTATTTCTACTTTGTTGTGCATTGTTTGTAGGCAGTTTATACAATCTTTTTACAGCTGCTATTCAAGTGGTCACTGTTTTTGCAGAAGTATTATTTGTTGTTTATTGTTGTCTTCCCAATTCTGGCTTTGTGTGCATTTATTCTTAAGACTTAGTCTTTTACAGCCCTTGGCAGGTGGTGTTAGACAGGGATGGGTTGCTGCCAGCATTACTGCCAGTTCGGTGCATGCACAATTTTGTGTGCATGCTCTTGCTCTATGGGCTTGTGCAGTTGCCCCTAACTAGGCATGGGGGGGAAATGCCTCGCTGACCAGGGAACCAGTATGAAGGCATGGCAGGTCTGGGTCGCTGCTGGTTCCTGCAACCCAGGCTGGCAAACTACTACCAGTTTGGCCGAACCGATCCGAACCAGTAGGAACCCACCTCTGATATTAGAGGTACCCTCTAAGAAGATATAAGCTGTTTGAAATAAAACTGCTATTTGCAATTGATTGATGGTGAATTTGTCAATGCCGATGGTGTTCAAGTAATGTTCTAGTTGTTTTGACTTTGTACTGAAGGCACCTATTGTACTCTTTTTGCTTTTTTGCCTCAGTTATTCTATTTATAATTGCAGGTCTTTATATTTTGTTATCTTTTCCAGTTTATTCTCTTCTCTCCTCTCCTCTCCTGTCTCCAGGTCCTGCCACATCCCATCATCCACTGTTTTTGTCTTTCTTATTGAGAATTGTTAAGTATGACATGTTATGTGGCGGATACCTGTCTGTATGAATTCCAGAGTCCCAGAGCACTTTAGCATCTTCATTTTTCAATTAGTATTATTATTGTCTCTATTTTATGGTCCCACCAGTTCTTGCTTTCAGACAAATAGTATTTTTTGCAAATCTTCCAATACACCATTGTTGCTACTTTATCTTGCTGTTGTTTGTAGTTAGTCTGTGCAATATTCTAATAATAGTGGTTGTCATTATTATTATTGAATGTAATTGCTATATTTCTTTAGATATATAGCATTAATGAACACACAGAGATAATAGGTTCTGATGGCCCATTACAAATTTTCTATTTGGCAACCTTAATTCATTTCCAATAAAGCTGTGTTCTAGTTCAATACACTATTGTTTTGATTTCTTCTCTTAGAATCTGTAGAACCAGAAGATATGCCCACTGAAGGTGATGAAATAACAGCAGATCATTTGGTCAACTATGAGGTGGCATTTTCAGCTGAGCAAGATAAATCTGCCTCGTGGGATGCTAATAACATTTATGAAAGTTTGAGAGCAGACAAACCTGCTGAAGTTAAAAAGCGGAGGGAACAGGTAAGACCTCTCTGTCATCACAAAGCAATTTCAAATAACCTCAGATCTGTGCATTCTGTGGAGGAGGCATTTATTGAGAAGCAGGTGGCAGTTGTGCCTAGGAGAGTCTTTGGACAAACTTGTGTTGTGCACTAGCTGTGATCTTTCCTGGACCAAGATTCCCTGTGCTCAGTCCTCCAGTCCTCAGTCATGTCACGGCTGGATTATTGTAATGCACTCTACATGAGGATACCTGAACATTTGGAAGCTACAGTTGGTAAGGAGTGCGGAAGCATGGGTATTTGGGGGGATTCCAAGAATGGCTCCTGTAACATCACTGCTTCACGAGTTTCCAATCTGCTTCCTGGTTGTTGGAAAGGAAAGGAAATAAAAGAAAAGAAAAAGACACATTCAAAACAGATATTGCAATTTTTTATTAGTCGTTTCTCTGAAAATAGGGTGCAATTTGTTTTGAAAAGCATGGAATTTCCCTCATAGGCTAAAGTCTGAAGATTCTGGTAGAGCTTTCTTTTTCATTAGTGATAAAGGATCTGTTTTGGCACAAAGCAACAACTGCTTCAACAGCAAAGGCTCTCACTGGATGCAAAATAGATTGAATACAAGGAATGTTTGCCGATATGAGTATGCTCTGAAGAACCACTTGATGGCACCAAAGGTCTAAAAGTGATGAGTTAATTAGAATATCAGAACATAAGTGCACTATACATGACTTGACATATTAACTTTTCATGGTGCAGAAGTCCTAAATGTCATTTCCAAGTCTAATAACATATTATAGTCATATGGCTTATTATACATACAGTCCATATGCTCATAGAATTCACCAGTAAATTCTCTTGCTTTTATTAAAACTATATGCATAAATCATAGAATCAAGACAGTTGGAAATAATCTCAGAGGTCATCTAGTTTAACTCTCTACTTGATGAATTATCTACTATAGCATTTTAGGAGGATGACTACCTAATCCTCCAATGAAAAAGCACATACCTCTTCATAAAGCAAGTGGTTTATAGCTGTTATAATCAGGAAAATCCTTCTTTCTATTTAGAACTAATAATTATATATATGACTAGTGTCTCTGCTCTGGCTATAATTGACAATTGATCTCATGTTTATTTACTTAGAAGAAAGAGCAAATGCTTTCAAGTATTCTTATTTTAGGAATATACCTGGGACATATGTTCATTTATTCTATTTCTATGTTGTCAAATCTACCAGAAACTCACACTGGTTTACAGCTAGCAACTAAGCATTGCAAGGAATAAATTAATTTTAATAAATAACATTTTAGCAACTGCATTGTCAGTGCTTCCCAGGCCTGCATAACTGTCTAACATCTGAGTAAATTACCCAAAATTATGTAACGGAAATTTCCTTTGTATAATGGCAACAAACAGATTACTCAATCACAACAGGGGCATTTAAATTGACGTAAAGGATTTTACCTACATAGGGTAGAAATAACTTTCTGAGAGGGAATTTGGGAAGGAAATATTTGAGAAGCAATGCATTAAGAGAAAAACAAAAAAAAGTACAGTAAAGGGAAAAATAAGAACATCATTCAATGTTTTTTGGAAAAGCTCTGTCATTATTGTTTTCTAGAAAGACATTAGATAATTACATATTATTTGTAAGGCAATAGAAGACAGACTTACTTTTAATTGATTCAACTTTTGGAAGTACTTAGAAGTAATATTGAATGTGTGCGGGACAAAAGCATGCCGGCCTTTATTTTAATGCTTCACTGTTTATTATCTTACTGTTCTTTCAGGGACCATGTCAAAAAGAACTGTACAAAGCACTGGATAAATTGGCAAAAGCTCAACAAACAACAGGAGGACAATTATATAGATTCTATTTACCCAACTGTAATAAAAATGGATTTTATCATAGTAAACAGGTAATTTGGGTGGTAGAGGATGGGAATGATATTTCCAAGCTAATGAAGGATGATGTGGTTTTTTACCTTTTTCATTGAATTAAACAAGCTTAGAACCCCTTACTTTGAAAATGATAGAAGTCAAGCCTCTCCATCCCATATGTTAAATCAGAAATGAAAATCTTATCATCCTCAAGTGTCTTAAGGATGGCAGCTCAACCTTTTTCTTTTTGATAGAACAAAAGCAGACTGTTCAGAGTTAAATATACTAAGGACATTACACTTTTTTGAAACAAAATGTCTGTAGGTCTCACCAGTGGTGTATCAACCATTAAGCAGGCTAAGCACATGCTTAGGGTACCAGGCCCAAGAGAGCACCACAAAGTTGAGAAAGAAAGAAAAAACCAATGAAGATTTGTACAGAATGTTCAAAGGAAGCAGGGGGAGGGGAACCAAGATTTGTCAGTGTTTAGGATACCAGTGAGCCTTAATCCGCCACTGGGTCTCATGATGCACCAGAAATATGTTTAAAAGCAGAATTTTTTGATCTTCAACAAATCTCATAGATAGTGTGATACATTTATAATGATAACAGATGCAGGTGGACTATGTATAGCTATGTCTGCTTATACTTTGGTAAGAAAAAAATAAAGATGGAGGAAATAGAACAAATTTTCTGTTCGAAGGGAACAATTTCAGTTGTATATTTTAAGAGAAAAGATCTGAAGGAAGTAGAGAAACTCCCATAAGAAGCACTGGTTTTCCATGGAAAAGGGGGAACAAAGTTCACAGAATTGTAGATGAACCTATGCACTTTTGATAATGCTAAGTTAATATACAGATCTGGTACAATTTTATATATATATTACAGTGAACAATTAAAATCATGATTATTCAGCTATATCTTTAAATAGATTTGCTTGATAATTTCCTTTATTCGCCCCACACAAGCACTTGTGTGTGTGTGTGTGTGTGTGCACATGCATGCACTCTCTCGCACACACACACAAAAAGTCCAGCATGTATTTCTGAATAGCTATGACCTAATGGAATATCTAGTGTAAAGTCAACATTCACTCTTCATTTACATAAAATAACTTTCTCATTTTCAATCTTTTGGGAAAGTTTTCCTGTATAAATTCAGCCAAGAAATAACAGCAGAAAAAAGAATTGCCTTTTTTAAGAATTGAATTGAATTTATTAAATTTATAGGCCGCTCAATCCCGAAGGACTCCGGGCAGCTTACAAAACAAGAAAAGAAAAAAAAATAAACAAAATAAAAATAAAGATTTAAAAATTCTCCAACACACATACATTCAGAATGGGGCTGGACCCTACATAATAAGGTCAACAACCCCAGGCCTGCCTTAACAGCCAGGTTTTAACAGCTTTTCTGAAGGCCATGAGGTTGGGTGAGGTCCGGACCTCTGAGGGTAGCTGATTCCACAGGGTCGGAGCAGCCACAGAGTAGGCCCTCCTCCGAGGCACCGCCAGCCGACACTGTCTGGCTGACGGTGTCCTAAGGAGGCCCACCCTGTGGGATCTTATCGGCCGTTGGGAGGTATGCAACAGTAGACGGCCTCGCAAATATGCTGGTCCTGAGCCATATAGGGCTTTAAAGGTAACGACCAACACCTTGAATTGCGTTCGGATACCAATTGGCAGCCGGAGGATAGGTGTAATATGGGTGTATCTTGATACACCCAATATCGCTCGCGTGGCTGCATTCTGGACTAGCTGTAATCTCCGAACACTTTTCAGGGGTAGCCCCATGTAGAGC